AATCACGGGAGACAGACAGAATGACAGACAGTTATAATTAAAGTTCAATTTCCAAATTTCAGGAGAATTTGAAATTTGAAATCCAGACTGACATTTGACAAATTTAATTTAATGTTGGTGTTTTTTTTATCTTGATGTAGGATTTGTCATTTTACATACAATATGTAATAATATTATTTTAACTTCATCCTTTTTGTGTTCATATTTATCTTAAAAACAGTTCAAATATAACAAAAGAAGGTAAATGCATTAGAAATAAAATTACCTGTATGGGATTCAAACCTGCAATTACTGACTTTAAAGCAAATAAAGATAATAATTTAGACCATGTAGCCAAAGAAAGAAACCCTGATACAGTTGGCACGGAGGTTCATATTCGTACAACACTTAAAATGGGTAGTTTTTCTGCACAAAATGTCTGTTGTAACTGGTAGATTTACTCACTGTCTCGCGGCTGGTTCAGTTCTAGTTATATCATGCCAAGATTCCAAGCGAAGATTATTCAGAAATGTATTTTGTTTAATCTGATATTTTAAGACATTCTATCAAATTGGAAAGTGGAAACATGAGTCAATCTCAATGATGATGTCAGGTTTATAAATTTTGTTGTTTTTGTCAAAACTTGCAAACTGACTGTATCAATGAAGCTGTTTTTTAAAATCTCATTAAAATTTTATAAATTTTTGACGCCCATGAAATATATTTGGTAAAATAAAAACTGTTTTGAAGGCAATGAATCAGACATTCAGGTATGTAATAATCTATTTTCAATATATAGATTAATTTGACCGCTACAGTGACCTTGTGGCTAGAAAAACAACAACCAACTAATTGTTATGATAATGGTCATTGGTTAAAATTTCCATTTGATGATTAAATTTTTTTTTTTATTCCAAATATATTTTGAAGAAATGGGACCTCTGATTGTCCAAACTGGCGTATTTTTCTGTATCAATTTTACATATTTTTTTTAAATATGCAAGTAACTGATTTGCAGGTGCATTGATTATGATGGTTTGTCACTTGTGACAGATTTACCAATTCTGTACTGGAATCTAGGAAAAGTGTTGAAAGATATTAAAGTAACATTTTGAAATTTGATAATGGCATGTTCAAATGTTACATTCTGTATGCCAATCACATGATGTACAAGTGGAATGTACCAGATAGACAAATATGTTTTTTGAGAGATCAATAAAATTTATAGTTATAATTATAACTATAATTATGTCATATGATGGACTAACTGCTAATAAGGTAGGATATTTGATTAGGTAAATACATGGCAACTAAGTTTTAATGTTTATAAAACTTAAAATTTGACTGTTTGTCCACTGTGTTTCAATGATGCATGCGTTTTTGTGATGATGCAAGTATTTCATGTAATTTGATTTATTTTTTGGTTCTATAATAGTCAATAGGGCCCTAATTAATAATATAAGGTACTCTAGGTGGCCAGGGGCTTGTAAGTAAGGGAATTTGCATCATTTTGAAGATAAATGGAAATTTGTTGACAATAATACTCATATGCAAGTAATATAAATTTTATTTTGCTAAAAGAAATACAGTAACTGGTCTCTTGCCTCAAGTTAAAAGAAATAAAAAGAAAAGAAAACCATTTTTTTGAGGATTTTTTTAAAGGGAATAAGGGAAACCTTTATTAAATTGGGAGGGAAATGGTGCCAGATTCATTAATTATAAATTAAAGGCCCAGATTGCACTGACTGTAAAAGCCGTTATGTTTGATGTGTATTTAAATAGTGTTTAATGGACTCCAGGAAAGTGATAGCATTGATTTGGTCATTAAACAATGTAGGATTTATCAACACTCTGATTGGTTTATCACTGTTGTATAATTCACTTATCACACTGTAGTTGTTAGGTTATCACACAGCCTGGTGAGAATTTAGACAACACCCCTTTGAGGCTGTAATTGATTAGACCTGTGTGTTGATTTCATAGACCATCATGCTAGTTTGATACACTCTACATGAACATAGTGGCTGTGTGTGTGTGTTGATTTCATAGACCATCACCCTAGTTTGATACACTCTACATGAACATAGTGGCTGTGTGTGTGTGTTGATTTCATAGACCATCATGCTAGTTTGATACACTCTACATGAACATAGTGGCTGTGTGTGTGTGTTGATTTCATAGACCATCACCCTAGTTTGATACACTCTACATGAACATAGTGGCTGTGTGTGTGTGTTGATTTCATAGACCATCACCCTAGTAATTGATACACTCTACATGAACATAGTGGCTTTATAGTGTCATGGATTACAGGAAAAAATAAAGGTCATGGATTATAGAAAAAAATAAAGTTTTACCGTAAGAAATTTAAGGTATACTCTAACTAAAACATACATAATTATATAAACCCCTACCACTCTAAATATCTGGACAAAATCATTTCATTTTTTTATATTATTATTTTTGGAAAATTTTAAAATATGTACTGACTTGCATTATATATAAGCCTGAACACACAGTGCAGATACCATGTGTGTTCTGCACTACCATGTGTGCTGCACTAGTTGCATGGATAGAATCTGTTGTAGTCTGCAGGGTATGGGTTAATTAGGATTTTTCATCGAATGTTTCATTGTTTTAACTAGAAATGTTTTGAAAGTGCAGATTAATATTTAATGATGTAATCCTCCTATGATTTCCATGACGATCAAGATATACCGTAATTAATATATGTTTCAAGTACATGCTTGTGTCACTGTTGTGAACTGGTGCCATTGTTTTATTAGTTGCAGTTTAAGCAAACTTGTGTTTTATAATAAATAATAAATTCAAATATATAGGTTCTATATTAGAGATTTATTATGTAGGTACCATGTTAGAGTCTATGTTAAGTCTTTAAGTAAACATTATAGAATATTTTTATGTTCTACATGATACATTCTTTAATTCTTATCGCTCTACATATTTATTAACCAGGTTTTCAATTTTGAAAATCCTGGTTATTAGATTGGGGTATGGCGGGCGGATGGGCGGATGGGCGGATGGGCGGGCGTCAAACTGGCTCCAAGGTCAAGGTCACAGTGACATTAACATTGAAAATCCTGTTCGCTCTGTAACTCTTCAACCCTTTGAAGAATTTTGATGAAACTTCAGACAAATGTTTACCACATCAAGATGACGTGCAGAACGCATGTTCCGCATGGCTGGCTCCAAGGTCAAGGTCACAGTGACATTAACATTGAAAATCCTGTCCGCTCTGTAACTCTTCAACCCTTTGAAGAATTTTGATGAAACTTCAGACAAATGTTTACCACATCAAGATGACGTGCAGAACGCATGTTCCGCATGGCTGGCTCCAAGGTCAAGGTCACAGTGACATTAACATTGAAAATCCTGTTTACATGATTTTAACTTGATTTGGCAGTCAAAGGTCATATCATCTTTGGAGGTAATTTAAAAAAGATATGATATATTATTTCATGTCTACTTTGTAACTTGTTTTTCATTATACAGAATTATCAATATAATTATAGTGAACAAATTCTTCTGTGCTGAACTCGTCCTACATTTCTCAACGGATTTTGTTCAAACTTTCACAGAAGCTTTGTCATCAAGCACCCTGGCACATATTGTCGGGGTTTTGTGATTGGATAGTTTTTGACCTAATTATGGCCCTTTGTTTTTTTCCTTATACATAATATTATAGTGAACACTTCTTCAGTGGCAATTCCTCCTACATTATTCATGTTTTACATTGCACATAGTTACATTGTTTGTTGCTTGTATTTGTATTTCAAATACAACATATTTATCTACAATGGTGATAATTGAAAACCTGGTTTCATGGCATTGCCATGTTTCTTGTTTTAAATGTTAATCTATGAAGTGGTGGCATGTCCGAGTGGTTTACACACCAGACTAGTAATCTAATGATAGCTAGCTGCATGGGTTAAAATCCCGTTAGGGGCAGCAAGAAACTTTACACTCGTGGCTCAATACTGATAGGTTCCAGGAATGAATTTGAAAGCTTCATACACAATCAACTAAAATAAATACTGTATAAACAAAATATCAATTCTGGGAGAGCCCAATGTCTGACTATTCCAGATTTACACATGGATCAGTTTTACTTTTAACTCTGTACCAGGTTCTTTTGAAGATTTCACTGACATACTCATTTTCCTTGTCGCTGTCCTGCTTAATAGAGTGCATGTTTTATGTTCAGTCCTTAATTATCATCTATGTAATGAGTAAAGTGGTGTGTAAAGGTGCATATCTGTCTTCCATCTCTTATATATACAATACATCAGTCGGTTTTTGAGATCAACACAATTTAAAGGGTACTCAACAATGCACAATGATATATGGTCCAGACATTATGGTGCAGTTGCTTTGTTAGAAATAGAAATTATCATGAAAAAAAGGATTATTTATTCATGATAATTGAATGGGAGAAGTATAACATGGCAGTTTACCCTTGTAAGCTCGTAAACATTTCATTGATTTGCAAAATAGTATAATTACCGTGCAGTAAATTGGTCAGAAATTCCGCCTCACTTTGTTTAATTGACGAAGGTATTATCTATTGTTTGAACATAGGGAATAGTAAATGAGTACGCAGCTCGAGATCTTGTTATGTAACTTACAATAAAAACTAACAGACCCAGTGTAATGGCAAGATTTGCGGGACCCTAGAGGGCGCCACTGATTACATTGATCTGAGGCATTCTAATTAAGGGGTTACACAATTCCCTGTTTGACAGTATCAACTGATATCTGTTTCAGTAGCAATAACTTTGATGCTTGCATTAATGCAGCTAGGCATTGTTTAAGTGATTGACGATTAATACAGTTATTTACAGATTCTTTTGATCACCCCCCACATAGTGACATGGATGTGACATCACCAAGTGGGAGTCTGGTTTTACAGGATAATTAAAATGACCCTGTGTTTAGATTCTTAAAGTGAATTTGTTGGAGAATGGAATGCTAAAATTGGAAGTATTTTCTCTGTTTTTCAGGACTATAATGGAATAATGGATTAATAACACAGAAAGGAAGCAATAAGGAATTTAGTGAGTTAGCAGTTTTGGATTATTAAATCTCAAGGTAAGAACAAAATTTTTGCACTTTTTTTGGAGGAAGTCATTATAACTTTAATATTAGTTATATGACATTCACTTCCTTGGACTTAAAATCAAGGATTTCCATTTAATATTTAGACCTAGTAGGAAGTAACATCATTATAATTATGTATACATTGTTTACATGCAAGCACCGAGTGGTAAAATTAATACACAGAATCTTGAAGATTTTGCTTACATAATACTTAATACCGAAAAAAAAGATGCGGGTGTTACCAATTTGAACATCAGTTAAGTTATTTTTACACCCCCTCATTTCTGAACTGTTTAAATGATTACACAGACTGACTAGGGAGCATTGATGTGATTTAAGACGTGATGTAACCATATTAGGGAACTCTTGTTACTTCACGTTTGTCAGCTGGCATCACAGACTGACTTCGTGATAGAGACAGACTGCTCGTCTGTCTGAATCAATTAAGATTTAAATTCAATTTATTTGGCACACTGGAAGCCAAATTCTTGAAAATGCAGTAAATACAAATTCCTGAGACTAGCTCTTTTTAAATTGCATCTTTTTTAACCATCTAGCCAGAAAACAGACCTCTTCTTATGCTAACAGAAGCAGGTTTGTTTCAGTGAACGGATAGATAATGGTGTATCTGTCATAAATAATGTCAGTGTTTGCCGCAGCAACGTGCATCCCTGCATCATAGCACTGTATTCATCGTAGAAATATGTTTACTGCACCCACAATGCAACTGGAAACTGAAAATATATCAAGCGTTCATCATAGCCAGAAAGTCGTATCTCAGTTTACACAACAAACAAGTTGTTACGTTGTTTCTATTGTTATAACAATGTTTTTTGTCTGCAGCAAATTATATTCCTTCTTATTGACAGGTGTAAAATAAAACTATTAAGAGGCTGTTAATTTGCTAGGCAAAAATGTAGGAAAAAAAATAAAAATAAAAGGTGTCAGGTAAGCATAAAATGCAGGTGTTCTCAAGACATTGTAAATAGCTTCAATTAAGGTGGTTCTCAAGTACTAAATGCTTTTTAGGCAAAGTAATTTAGATTCATCTCTTAATATTGTAAGTTATTGAAAATATTTTTAATAAAAGTTAAAAAATCAAAAACAACAACAACAAAAAACCCCACAATTCAGAAGATCGAATCATGTTTTGCTAACTCTACAACTTGTCCAAGTATTTTAAAATGTGAAAAATATTTTGTGAAAATAATTATAATGTTTATTTTATACTTTTAGTAAGCAAAAAAGATGATTTGTAAATTTCTTTTTGTGTGTTTTTCAAACTTCTTAAAAGATTTAAGATTAATTTAATATCTAACATATGGAGACTTTCCAGCTTTACTGGTAGAAGAAGACCCCAGCTGCCTCTCTGTGTGTTATCTCAGGCACAAAATTAATGGGCACCTGGGTAGAACCTCTGGCATTCCATAAGCTAGCTAGATAGCTTTCTTATATAAAAGAATACGGAGACTTTTGCGAGGCTCGAACCGACAGCTGTCAGAGGCAAGTGGTTTGAAGTCAAGGACCTTAACCATTTGGCCACAGATACCCCAATTATTTGATACTATAGAGAAGTAATATCATATAGATAAATATTAGAAATAGAAAAATTTTACCTTATGTTAAGTTCTGGTATGTTTATGATTACCTGTTCTTATGGCATCTTATGATTACTAGATGAACATTTTACTGAAGTCATTGCCAACAAGGCATCACCAAACTCAAACGAAGAAAACTTTGATCTCTTGCTGTAAATTAATATTTTATGAGTGTACATGTATAATGTTGTATGTAGTGTTTAAGTGAATAATTAAAACAAAGCTTTTATAATCATAAAAACATCAAATACAATCTGTTTTCCAGGTGTAGGATTAGTGTACATAATTAGTACATATAATACAAAATGAATTACCTTTCTGAATGCTATGTCTATTTCTAAACTTTATGATTTGGCTGTGTTGTTACATGCGGGAGGAAAAACTTTTCTAAGGATTTTAAAATAAACAGAATTGTTAATTTATTGTCAAACTTAGACAATTAAATAATGTTTCTTGAAGTTTAAGGAAAGTCATGAGTAACCATGATTTGGCGATATTATCAATTTGTAGTCCAAGAAAAATCAAATAAAGAAAAATCAATTAAATTGAAAAATGCCATATGAGCTTTATTGTGATGATGCAATATAAAACCCAACCCTCCAAAAAAGAAATTAAGTATAGGTGCTCACTGGAACAAAGGTGAAGGTTAAAATCTTTTTTGTGAAAGTTGGCATCTGGCAAATATTGTCTCTGGAACATTCTTATTCTCCTCTGGAATAATTGGTCAAGAAGTATTTAAACTTTCTCTATGCCATCTGAGATTGATAAACCAATATTGTTATATAATACACTCATGATCAATTCAGATAATCCTTGCTTAATCTTTGTGCAAATAACAGTATTTTTTCAAAAATTGTTTACTTTAGTGTAAAACGACCTAAGACCATAATTATTGGCACTCTTGCACCCAGCACATTGTGAAAATATTTTATAAATAAATGTTTTATGATTTGTAGTAATGTTGTTAGGGAAGTTTGAAGATGTATAAGTTAACTATTACATTGTATTCTGTACCAACTGAGCAAATAATTGCTTTATTCTAAATTTAGTAACAATACATGTATATTATGCTATGGAAGTCATATTTTTCTGATGTTTCATTGATGTATGATACAAAATGATACTTTTATAATCATTGTAATGTTTTATTTCTTCCTGTCAAAATCATTTAAGACATAGAAAATTATACAAATTTCATTGAGGAGGCATATACTGGGTCCCTCAGTAATCTGTTGTAAGTTATACAATAATAAGTAAACTATTATTTTTATTGGAATTTACAGCACTAATGTTATAATAAATTGATATAAATATGACTTTTATAGTCCCCTGTGGGAGGCAACTGGAGTTTTTCCAAAATAATAATACATACACTAACAAGGTTAGTTTTCCTAAAAACTTTTGCTCTGTATAATACATAATTATCTAATTTGTAGGGTAATAGAAGTTCCTCGCATCAATTTCTATACATTATTTCTTTGCAAGATTTTCATGTACACTTCAGCCTCATTAAAACGCTCATGTTGGGGTCCAATGTCTCAACACCGCGTTCTAACGAGGCTCTCATTAGAACGCTCATTGTGAAATTTCCGCATTACCCCACCCACCACATACATATATATAACGCTGATTTTTTATACTTACTGTTCAATGAATATTGACATTATCTTTTTCTAAAACCATTCAATGATGTAAACATATATTATATTCACAAATAATACTAATTATATTTAAAAGAAACGAAAAACTTTCGAAAGAAAATTATAAATCATGAATGTAGTGTAAACAACCATTACTGTAATGACGTTTGATTAACTAGGGGACACAACGAAAGCTGGACTGTAAATAACACTGTAATTTACAGTCCAGCTTTAGTTGTGTCCCCTAGTTAATCAAACGCCAATTACTTCCTGTCAAGGCCACTCTATTTACAGTGCAGGATTTTAAATTGATTTTGGGCTTGTGGGTTATTTAATTCAGCGAGGTTTACATGTCAAAGCTATGTGTGTGAATTTTAGTTTATTTATACTCACCACCGGTTGCCAATGTCACAGTTATGATATGAATTTGAGATTTTGGAAACAATTTGAAGACAGGTAAAACAACAAAAGAGCGGATAAACGCTTACCTGGGCATGTTTTTCACACCTTTGGCGCTCATAAATGTCCTAATAACAATTGTTTATTGTACTTGACTGTCAAATTGGGCAAGCGTTATAGCGCGCTATAAATCTAAGTCTACTTGAAAAAAAAAAATTTTTGTTTTTTTGGGAAGTTTTTTTTTTTTTTTTTTTTTTGGAGCCAAGGTCTATGAGCGCTCTACTGAGATTAGCGTTATAGTGAAGAGCGAGTTATCGAGGCTACAGTGTATTTTCCCTCTATTTAAACATTCTATTACATTCTAATCATTTCAGATATTCTTTAATTATCATAAAATGTTTTCAAACTTCACTTCCGAAATTAAGTATAGCAAACTTAGCACACACATTGCAAAACATCTGCCTATCTAATACCAATACATCATGTATAATGTAACATTCAGCAACATCATAATAAATAAATTATTTAATTGACATAATATTTGACAAAATCTTCAACATTAATTGTGAAAGGGTAAAAAATTTCTTCATGAATTTTGATAACTTTTCACTAATCGTAGTTCTAATTTTATCATTAAATGCATAACATTAGGATGATTTGCTGAATCATGTTTAATGTATGTACCAAATTTTGTGACACTTTATTGGGTCCAAATGGTTTTAAAGTAACATTTTAATGATATTTTGTGTACATAATTTCAAAGTTACAAAGATGATAAGCACATTATAATAAGCACATTATAATATTTTCGCTCTTGACAATTTTTTTATTTTGTTTTGATTTCTGGCTACAGTAATCTCCAGGTTTATTATGAGAAGATAAAAGAAGACAACACTAGCAGAAAGTGATCATGTTGGTTAATTGTGCTGTTTTTCTTAGTTACATCATGAATAGGAAGATAAAAGAAGTGTTTAATTACAGAGTTTTCCTGGGTAATTACATTTAGGTTAGAGCAATGATATCTGTGTACATCCTGACAACATCAAACAGATCTAGTTTGTTCTAGAGATTACATCATCTGCTGATAGCTAGCTCTTTTGTGAGCAACACAAAATGTTTTTTTCCTCTTCATATAATATGTTCCTTTTAGCATGACTTTACTCATCTTTGTCTTTTTATTTTGTATTCTTTTAATGGAGAGTCTCCTTAGCAGTTTTATTCTGTTAAAACTGATATGATAATCTTTATTTTGTATTTTTTCCTTTGAGACATTTTATAGTCTCAGTACTAAAACACTGAAGAAAAAATTGTTTAATTAATATCACCAATAAAAAGTATGAGGTGAATTTTCTGC